TCCAGTGTCCAGGTGACCCATCCTGGTGTCCCACTGACCCATCCTGGTCTCCCAGTGACCCATCCCCATCTTCCAGGGGCCCACCCCAGTGTTCCAGTGACCCATCTCCATCCCCAAGGGGTCCATCCCAGGGTCCTGGGGACCCATCCTGGTCTTCCAGGGGCCCATCCCAGTGTTCCAGTGACCCATCTCCATCCCCAAGGGGTCCATCCCAGGGTCCTGGGGACCCATCCTGATCTCCCAGGGGCCCATCCTGGTGTCCCAAGGGGTGTCCCCACGCACCAGTTGCCCAGTAATAGATGTCCCAGTCGTTACTGGGCTCGTTGATGAGCCGGTCGTAGCGGTTCAGCTGCTCCTCGCTCATCCTGCCCAAGTTTTCCTTGGCAAAGAGGCTGGAAAAGGGATGGATATAGGTGGGAGATGGGAGAAGAGGTCCCCAGGCATCCCAGGATTTACACACATCCTCCAAAGGATTTTGGCTCTGCTCCATCCACCCCGCTGGATCCTGAACCACCCTTGGGATGGTTTATCCCATGGATTTTGGCTGTGCAGTCCCTCACTAAGCCCTTCCCGCAACTCTCGGGGCTCTTCCCCGTTAATGCCCCCCCCCGGGACACGCCTGGAGCCGCTCCCACCTGAGCAGGATGCAGTTTTCCAGCATCCCCCTTTTCCTGCTCTCGTAGAGCAGCCGGGCCCTCTTGGTGTCCAGCGGCTCCTCGGGACGCTCCTGCCAGGGGGGCAGCGGGATCTCCAGCACGTCCTTCCCGGAATCCGATGGGGAATCCCCGCGGTACCCACGCCAGGGGATCACTGGCACCGCCAGCTGCCGGCACAGGGAGCGGAGCTGGGAACAGGGAATGCCCAGGGATGTCAGGGCTGGGACCCCCCCAAATCCTGCAGGACACAACTCCCAGTCCCAAACCACCCCCAGACTCTGCTGCTCCCAAACTCCCCCTGGGGCAGCCACATCCCATAACACTTTCTCAGATCCTGCTGCCCCCAATCCCTTATCCCAAAAGTCTCCCAAATCCCCTTTTTCCCCCAGACCCCCTTTTCCCACTCTTCTCCCACCTTCCCTCCCAGACCCTCCTTTCCTTCTCTTTCCCTTTTTTCCCCCTTTCCCACTTTTCCCTCTTTTCCCCCTTCTCCTCCAAATCCCTATCCTCTCCTTTTCCCCCTTCTCCTTCCCTCCTTTTCCCCTCTTCTTCCCCCGCTTTCCACCTCCCCTTTTTCCTCCTTTACACCCCATTCCCCCCGTTTCCCCTTCTTTTCCCCCTTCCCTTCCTTTTGTCCCCCTTTCCCCCCACTTCCTCTTTTCTCCGCTTTTCCCTTCCCTTGCCCCCTCCTTTTTTCCCCCCTTCCCCCCAAATCCTCTTTTCCTCTCCTTTTCCCCCTTTCCCTTTCTCCCTTCTTGCCCTGTTAAACCCCTTTTCCCCTTCCCCCCCACACATCCTTTCCTCCTCCTTTCTTCCCCTCTTTCCCTCTCCCTTCCCTTTTCCCGCTTCTCCTCCCCTTCTCCCCTTTTCCGTTCCCGTTCCCTGCCCTTTTCCCCACGCCTCTCCCCTCTTTTCCCCCCTGTTTTCCCTCCTCTCTCCCCCCCGTTTCCCCCACCCTGGCCGCCGCCATGTTGCCCGTGGCCGCTCTGGCCCCGCCCCCCGACTCTATGCGCCTG